ATTTTGACTGCTACAATCTTCTTAATATTAGAATTCTCTTAGAATAGAAACTAATACTATAGTGCATTGACCAAAGTACCCCTCTTTTTGTGTATCTCTCACTCAAAGTACTTAGATACTTTGAATAGCACTTTTTTTTTTGCCAAGAATAGTACTTAAGTACTATATAATTATCAAAAGTAGGTTTTTTATATAGGATCCAGATACTTTGTAATATATAATTACTTATTCACAACTATGTTTGTTTGTGGAGGTGTAATATTTAGTTAACATCTTAGTAAGATTTATACAGAGTGTTAGAATAATCAAACAAATCAAAACTTAAGATTCTTCTATTTTATAAAATAAAAAAAAAGTTTTAACATCTTAAGATTCAAAATATTTATGACTTAAAGTTTTTTAAATAATCTTTGAATAAATTATCTAGTAATTATGAACACTATACACATGCTAACATTCATGCAGAAAAGATTTTTATCAAAAAATTTTATACTATGTATGCTATATGCATTTTTCATATAGATGATCAGATCAATTTGCATATGCTTCTAAAATTTTTTATCGAATTTAGGTTATTTAATGCATTTCAAATTTAAAATTAGCTGAAAGTTTTTATTTATGAAATATTATCATATCACTTCTGAATCAAAAATTAAAATTTTACCTAAGCTACTAATATTTATTGTCTTGAAGTTATCTGAATAAAATTTTGACTGGACAAAAAGTTTTTGATGTTATAAATTTGATATTAATTAAATTAGTAAAACAATGCATAGATTTAATTTTTTTTTTGATAACTCTTTAGTAATAATACTAAGAGACAACATTGGCATTCTAGCTCTGATCTTTAATAAACTAGGATATTTGAATGTTAGTAAATTAAAATACAATTGTTAAAATAGAAAAATAGCCAAAAAATTATAAAAATTAAAATTTTTTTCAGAAACAAAATATAAGCTAGCAAGATATAAAATTGATTTTATTCAATTATATCTAATTGTAAGAGCAAAAAAAAATTTTTTTTGCTTACAATTTTATATTAAAATTGAAATACTCATGTAAAAAACTATACAATATGAACCTACCAAACTTAATTTTTTTTTTTATAATCTTCTGAGTTTTCATTTCTGTTAGTCCCAATCTTGAATGATTATTAATTCTTCACCTTCTTCATAGTAATTATCAAAAACTAAACCACTTTTATTTTTATTAATACCTTTATATTCTTCTCTTTTTCTATTGTTTTTACTGTTATCATTACTATCATTTTCACTATTGTTTTCATTATTGTTTTCACTATCCTTTTTACCATAGTTTTCATTATTATTGTTATCATCATTCTCACTATTATTGTTATCATTATTTTCATCATTATCTAGTTTTTCTTGACTTTCAATTCCTTCTCCTAGATTTGTTTAGTTTATGATCCTTATAAAGTCAAAAATCGGATCATCTTCTGTTCTGTTCATTGCATTAGCAATTCCATAATATTTAAAAGACTTTCTGATCATATTAATATCAATAGCTTCCTAAGCTTCTTTTATTCAAGTAGCAACCAAAAGATAAAAAGGTCATTTTATTTTGCTGGTCTTAGTATATTCTTTGATTTCTTTGTCTATCCATCAGTTATAAAAACTTCGCATCTATTAAAAAATTTTTTAAAAAATCCAGATAGTTATTTAATAAATATAATTATAAAAAAGTTTTTGAAATATAAGACTATACTGACTTAATACACAGTAACTCTTAGTATAATGAATTGTTTGAAAAATTAAAAAGAAATTAGCAATATTATAGATTTATTAGTATCTATTATATCAAGTATAAGGGACTAATGTAAGGTTTAGTTTAACTTGAGATGATTGGATAGTTTTTGATTAATAATCAAAAATTAGCTAATCATTTTATCACCTCATATTAGTTTAGATCTCACATTGGTTCCTCAATTATTATTATATGATCTAACTCTAGATTCATTATATTAAGATTTTACTTAGTTTCATCATACTAAGAGTATATTATCTTAAAAGTTACATGTAGATAGGTTCTTATAATCTGGTCAAATTAATTTTTATCTATATGTGTTAGATTTTTATCTTTGATTTAAATAATTTGTTCATAGAGATATTAAGAGGTTGTAAACGAAATGTTAAACCACTAGAGATTAAAGTCAAGTTAGTTTTTTTTTACAAACTGCTATTTTACAGAGTCTGTTTTATAACTAGTAAACAAATCTAGAATTAACAAGGAATGTAGATTATTTATACATTATGCATGTCGAGTTCAGATGTTCTCTACTTATCTAGCAATAACAAAATAATTAAATAATAATAAAAATATAGCAACTTATACTGACCTATTTAGATTTATAATATCTACTAAAATCTATATATACTTTTTTATTAATAATACTAGCTCTAAACCTTAATCTAATTAAAAAAAAACTACAAAAAAAACTCTAATAATCTTATAATTTCATAAAATAGATAAAAT